GAAGTTGATGGAAGAGAACAGGAGAATAGCACATTACCTTAACAACTTATTTCTTCCCTAACTATCTTTGTTGACATATAAACTGTGCAATTACCATGTACAAGGACATGCAGCCTTGTCATTAGCATGTAAAACTGTTATATAAGCTTATATATATATATCTATATATAAAAAGTTTATATAAGAACTTTGGGATATAAAATTATTGACAGTACATTTTAGGATTCTTAGCTGAAAATTCTAGAACTGGAAAAGTGATACCTTTTTTGGCCAGGGGTTACATTCTTTTCAGAAACTTTTTAGAAGCTGATCTAGAGATGGGTATGAATTTCATAGCTTAGTGTAGTGATGTTACACTTAGACTTTCTAAATTTAGGTTCAAGTCCTTAACTCAACACAGATTTCACTAGGTAATCTAGTGAGTTCTGGGTACAGTTAAGGACTTGAACCTAAATTTGGGCCAGCCTCTGTCTTTAACTTCAAAATATTTTACAGGGTTGTATTGTAATAAAATGAAGAGAGATTCCCATTTGTGCCACATGCAATGCCCTCCAAAAAGATGGGATATATAACAATAACAAGCAAGAATAAAACATTTGTGAATAGTTGTTTCATGTAAATATTGGAAAATTATGTGAATTGTGGCATCTAGAACTATAATTCTATACAAACTATTCAGAATAAATCACACTGAATTCCAGATGACTTATAAAATTCTTTTCCCCCCATATATTTTATTGTTTTTTTAAAACATAAATCACTTAATAGTTGGTAAACAATGTGTTTGCTGGGTTAACATTTGTAAAGAAAAACCTTAACAATTGGTTTCTATAATCTATAATCCACATAGTACATTTAGTTGATTTCCCCTTTTCTCCAAAATGTCTTCTTTGCAAATCTTGAAATAATACAGTTCTTATTATTTTGATATATATGATTTTTCCCATTATCCTAGAAATAATGATCACATCAATATAATATTTCTTTTCTATCTAATCATTCTGGTTGCCTCATCTTATATCCTATTACAGTCCTTATTTAAATTTGTTTCTCCCATAAAGTTCAAAGTATTCTTGCTGGTTAAGATTTTCTCAACAGATAATTACATTTAAAGATTTAAATCCATTTTTCCAATATAAACTATCTCAACACTTTTACATTTCTTAAAGAATAGGTAAACAGTAAAGAAAAGGAAAAAAGAGCAAGAGTAAAGAAACATAAAAAGTAAAATACTACTTAAAATATATATTCCTCCTAAGCTAATATATATTCATTCCCAAAATTTCTTATTCTTTTTAACCATGATTAAAAATGTATTTAATCTTTAAATATTCCATTTAATGTGTCTAGTCATCTAATCCTTTAACTCTTATCCAAAACATTTTTTCTTTTTTATACATTATAATTTCCCTAAATTCAGACACATTTAATTATCTAAAATATTTCCTTCATCTAGGCCATTTCAGCAGTATTATATTACTTATATCAAGAAATAAAATAAAAAAGGGGGGGGGAAGCATACAGTATCATTTAAGGAATTCATCTCTCTTAGAATGACATATGTATTCAGAATCTTTTCTATTTCTTTAACCATAGTCAAACAAATATTTCTTTTTTAAATATTCTCTCTGGTAGATCCCATCATCTATTTTCTTAATTTTCACTTTGATCTTTTTCCTTTGAGCAGTATCTTTCTTGATCAATGTGTTTTGCTGAATCAAAACGTTTTTCCATATATTCATGACTGTTGCTATAGGTATAAGAAGTAAATTGAATAAAGTGTCTTTATGTGAGACTTTTGCTTTCCATGTTTCTTGAAAATATTTTTCTTTCTCCTTCTTTGCTTCTCTTATCACTTCCTTTCTGTCTGATGTTTTCAACATCTCTACATTTCATTTTATCCAATCTGTTTTTTTGTCCTCAGATTTATTTTGTAGTCTTAAGGGATGAGTTGTTTTTTCCATTTCTTGTACATTTTTCCCCACTAGGATTAAATCATGTTTTCTTGCTTTGTTAAGTTCCGTCTTTGAGTCTCTATTTTCAATTTTATGTTCACTTATTTGTTTGGTCTGCTCCTTCTCTGTTGTTGTTCCTGAAAGTTTTTTTTGTTGTAAAGTTAACTTAGAGACAGATTGATTTGTATTTTCAAAGTTATTTTGCATTTCTTTGTGATTTGAACTCAGTGTTATTTGAATTAATTGCAGTATACTATATATCTCCTCCTGAGAGGTATTTATGTTTTCTTGGTGTGTTCTGTCTACATGTCTGTGATCCATGATGGCCAAAAGTTGAAGTTTTCCTTCTTATCTGCAAATAGCTTTAGGGTCTGGTTAAATAGATATTTGTAATCCAAAGAGTTCAAAAAATATTTTTCCCCTAAAGTTTGTAATTCTCTCTTTGTCTGTTGTCTTTTTTTGTCACAGCTGTTCTTTATTATTAAAGCTTTGAAGGTCGCAAACACAGATTAGCTTTTCCCAGGTTTTGGCAAGTTCTCTATGAAAATCATAGCTGTCATAATCTTCATCCACCACTAGGTGTCAGCATCTATTTAGTTTTCAATATGAACAATGGTCTTTAAAATGAGAGTCTTAAAATGAGAGTCTTAACCATTCAACAATCTTAAACTTGCCCAAAGTTAAATTTTAGCTTTCAAGTTTATAAATTTATTTCACTACCATATAGTTTGATCCTCCATAGAAATTTTAATTCGCCGCTTTCGTTAGTATAAGGATGGGGCGGAAGTCCCCCTTCTTCACTTTTGGAGGTATTTTCCTTCTTGGGGATCTTTTCCAGGAAATTAAGTGTAGGATAGAAAAGGGAAAATCAGATTCCTCACCCAATTTCAAGCACGCTGTTTACTGTAGAGCTGGTTAGTTCTTTTGGACTCGTTGCAAGTAGCTTAGGCTGATCAATGAAATACAGCCTTTCTCCTGTCAGGTTAGAAGGCTTTCCCCAAGATGAACGGAATGACCGCCATCATTCCAGAGTCGCCGGGGCACCCTTCTTTCTTCGCTGTCTCTCCGGGGCGGCTTGGATCCATTAGGGTCTCCAGGCAGGACGAAAGTTAGCCATGGGGGTGCAGTGATCCGCAAGCCCGCGACCAGTTGCTACCGCGCAAGACCGGAAGTCCCAGATGACTTATAAAATTCATTGTTAATTGACAATATGACTCATTTGCATGGTTCTCTACCCTCTGCTCCTTTTGCATATGCTTTCCCTGCATATTTTCATTCACATTTGACTCTCTTTTAATTTTTCCACACATTATTGATTTGCCTTCTGTTTTTTAAGCAAATTCTTATCAGTTAAGAATTTTAAACTTGCCTAAGTTTAAGGTTATTGTACCAACCCTGTATTTCTTCTTTGTTTTGTCTTCCTTTTCCCTTATTGACACCTGTGCTTCATCTAAGCCACATATGTGGCATGACTTCTGAATTCCACCAATTGTTTTAAATAGAAGTGTGGGCAGGAATTCAAAGGTGAAGCAAGGAAATGGAAAATAACTCTTGCTTGGTCTTAATGATACTCCCGTAAGATCCTTGATTTGACAATAATGCTGTTTAATATACATTACATATAAGAAGAAAGGGTATGGAATAGGGAGCTGCCCAGAACCTCAAGGGACACAATGGCATACAATTGGGAAGAATATTGCAGATTTAGTGAGGGACCGATCTCATTTCACACGACATCACACAACTGCCTCAACTCAGTGCCTTTCCGGTGTGTTGAGGCTACAGGTTCCAGAAGTTATAATTACCTAAGCCAAGAGGTTTTAGCTTTTGGAAAAATAGGATTTCTCTTAATTCATGCTGAAGGGGGCAGGGAAACTGACATGGCAGCCATAACCCTCCTCTGCCTTTGACATTAATGAGATGAAGTGAGATTTTCATACATCAAATAATGTATGATTTTATATTGCATAAAAAGTTAATATGTATTCATAAAGGACTATTCCTTGTGAATGTTTTATTGCAAAAACACTGTTTATGTTTTAGAACTTGATCCTAGCTTTATGTGGTCCTACAGAAATGAATTTTGGAGGGCCTTTTCTTTCTGGAATTGGAATTTGTTGGTCATAAATATCATAACATTTACAGAAGAATCTTTATTTCCATTTATTAGGGGAAAAATGAAATATTTGTTAAATAACCATAGCAAGGTCTTGCATTCTTTGTTATTAAAAAGCTAAAATCAAACTCATAGTGAGCCTAAGATTATATGTACAGCTCTATGAACAACTTTTTTTAAAACTGAAAAGTATGACACTCTTAGCAACACCTTATTCTGGAGAATTAATGCATTCTTAATATAAACATAGTCTAGGATGGTTTGGGAGTAAGATGGTTGCTGAATCCCTATCAGTTATTGGGGGAGGATATTGTTCCATGTAGGTGGGGACATTTATGTTGTGTTATTCTGGACATTCATTATCTTTTTTTAAAAGAAGTTTGTGACTTTTCACAAAGTTACTTGTAGCTTTGAATCTAATAGATAAATGAATAAAACTACACCATCTAACCAGAGAAAAATAAAACATAAAGAAGAATGTTTATTTCTGATCTTCTTGGTTTCTTGGAAATAATTCTCTGCGAGCACTTTTGATATTACTGTGCTTCAGCAGAATCAAAGGACATCTGCATTCCCATAGCATCCTGTTATTTCACTCCCAGATGTCAGCACGACAGTCCAGAGTAATCATTTGCAGAATAAGACTGTGGATTCCTTTTTATTTACACAAGGCTGACAACTGAATCATGAGCAAAATAGTATTAATTCTATGGCTTGGCAAATTCACCATTAGGGATTCCCTATTTGGCTGCTTTTACATGATCTATTAACTTTTTTCACCAATGACTACTGATTTTGCTTACTGCTTTTTTTTCTCTTCCTCTGTTCAAACTCAAAGTTCAAAGACGCTCAGATTAACATGTCACTCTTGTTTTTGTTCTCTTGCGGTTTGTTACATCTTGATCCATGATACTTCTTACCTGATGAAGTTCATGAGCCAGGTATGTGACACAACTTCCAAATCCTCCTATTCTCTAATATGTACATAATATACATTTGTGTGAATGGGATATTGAAAGAGAAGAAACAAGATCAACAAGTACTATTAACCTACTATCACAAACAAGTATGTTTTTGCTTTATTGCTCCATACTCATAGCTGCATTAACCTGCCATTACAATTTTTCAAATTTCCACAGCTTCCACAAATGTCTGTGGACTTTTTCTCTTTTTCTTCCATTCTACCCTTTAATCACCCATTCTACCCATTAGGCATAAATATGTTTATATTTTTATACCTTTTCCTGTTTTGCTTCATATCACTATTCTTTCCACCATGATGCTTCTGATAGAAGTCTGGGAAGAAGGTATGTACTGTCCAATCCATCAACTTTATTTTATCTCTTCATTATTTTCTCTAGGATGGCACCAACAGTGTTCAACAATATTCCCAATGACTTGAGGATAAGTTGGACAATGTTAAAATATTGAGTTTTTCTTTGGAGATTATTCTAGAATGTTCTGCATACACACACCAGAGCTCCACACTTTCTTTAAAGTCCCTTGAATTCTTTAGAGGCAAAGCAAAGTTGAAATATATTTACATGAAATTTAAAAGTGTCATAATATAAAACGGAGCATTGTTAGCATGATAGAAGGGATTTTTTGAGAGGGCTTTCTTTCAGAAAGGATGAGGCTAAGTCTGTCTGATGATGTAGCCTTGAAAAACGATCTTCCCAAAATGCAAAACTGCTGTTAAGTGTGCTTGCATTGTGTGACAGTGGGATTATCCTCACATCCAACCAACTTACCCCCTAACTGTCCTACTAACTATTTTTAGAGTACATGCCCTCTGACGTAGCCTTCATTTTGTCCCCAACTCATTACGGAGACCACTTACTTTCTTTTGGGGGGTATTTTGGAATTAAGATAGTATTTTTCCCTTTTTCTATGTCTTGCCATACAGATATTCTACAGAGCTTCTCATGAGGTTGATGTGGTTCCATTGCTCATATTCAGCTATTGTGGGCACTCCTCCTTCTGACTGAATGGTGTGTGTTACCCATGACAAAGAACTGTAGTATAAGACAGAAAGTGAATGGAATATATCTGTGTATGTGGGGGAAAAAATTGAGGAGGCATTGCCCATAGCAGCGGTCTTCAAACATGGCCCTTTTATGACTTGTGGACTTCAACTCCCAGAATTCCTCAGCCAGGCATGCTGGCTGAGGAATTCTGGGAGTTGAAGTCCACAAGTCATAAAAGGGCCAAGTTTGAAGACCCCTGCCTACAGTTTGGACTATATTCCTGGCAGTGAATTCAGCCTTTAGGCGGAACTGTGTTCTCCCGTCATGATCTAATGAGAGTGATGTTCTGTGAATGAGTTGCTTGTTTGATTATTCTCCATTACAGCTAGGCCTAGACCAAGTGATACCCCAGGAAGATCTGTGTTTACAACTGGCATTCCTCCTTCTACTTAATCAAATGTTTAATGGCTTCCTTTTTTATTTTGTAGGCAGCTCATTACAATTTTTTAATATGTATGTGTAAAATATGTCACTATTATTTCAATTGATCAGTTTTAATCTTAGGATCTATAAATGACCAGCCAAATGCTGGGCTACAATTCCTAGAATTCTCAAATGTACTGGTCTTCAGTGCTTAAACTCTTAGGAAGCATGGTCTTCATTCCCTTTATCTTTAGGTTATGGTTCAAGATAGCTAGATGGTACCAGGTTAAGTCTGTCAACTAATATTAACAGGAACACCTTTTGTCCTCAGATGGAATGCCCCAGACCAGGGGTGTCAAACTGTCGGCCCGTGGGCTGGATGCATCATAGCAAAACCATGCCTACCCCATTGCCAGCGATGGCAAAAAAGTCACGATATGTCGTGACATGTCAGGTGACGTTGCGAGTTTGACACCCCTGCCTCAGACTATGAGCTCATTTAGCTTTTATTTCAGAAATACATGTAGAAACCTGGAACTCAAAGATCCGGAAGATTCTACTTCTGTCTTATTTTTTTCCTCTAATTCTTGAACAATGCCAATACATCTCAATCTATTTTTCATACAACATGGCAAACAATCTGAGAAACTAGAAGATTTAAAAAAATAAAAAAAAATAAATCAGTTTCTTAAATGTTAGGGTGATCTGTTGTTTACAGGTGGTAAGTAAAACCCTTGTCTAGCTACCATACTCATATTCTTGGAAGGTTTTTTTGTTCTTTTCTGCCAAGTATATATTCCAAGGCTCCTTTCATTAGTTTCAGATCAGTGCAGCCTCCCCCCTCCCCAATGTCTCTTCAGTGTTATAGAGCTCTGAGGAGCTTGGGAAGACCAGGTGATTAACACTTGATTTCTGCTCCAGAAGGAACATTATAAAGACAGTTTTGTAGCATCCTTCAGCTGCTCTGTGAGCATGTTAGCCTAATTTAGTCTCCCCTCCCCCTTTCACACAAGGTGTCCTAAATGTCTTGGATTGCACATACCATAACCTATTCTATGAATAACCAAGACATGAAAACTTATTGAGGATATGTAGAACAGGACCTTGATGGAACTGAGGTGGATGTTAACAGAACTGGGGAAATTGTTTCTGGATATTTCTAGTAACAATTTTTTAAATTATTTATCTAGGGCCATAAATATACAGGATGCTTTGCATGAAAACCAGCAAGACTCTACTTCAAGAGTTTATAGCTTAGATTCTCTTTAAATGTCTCATTGTACACATACAAGCACATGCCCAAGGAAGGTTAGAATTTCTTGGGTGTTGACCTACAACAAGAGTATAATCTAGCCTTCAGAGATAAGAATAAGGGCAGAAGGAATTCCTTTGCCCATTATGGACTCCCCAAAATTTGAAGGACTGAGCATTCATTTCAGAGCAGATTTAGAAGAAGTATGGAGAACTAAGGATAGGAAAGGAGGAGAAATGTAAAAAAATAATTTTACTGGTATTTCAACAAATGGATTCTTCAGATTGATTTTGAAAAACAGGACAATTGATAAATGGTGGACATGGAGAAGGAGTATTTGATTGGCTACCTTCCTTTGTCTTCCATTTCCATTTGAAGAAGCAGAATATGATTATGGTATTTTGGTGGATCTTGGAGGTAGTATATCCTTATTACTAACACATTTTTTTATTCTGCATTGAATCTTTACTCATCATAATACCAGAAACTGGACCAAATCATTAGGGTTATAACACAGCTAATATTTTCATTTTGTTAGGAGTAAGTTTTATTGTAAACCAAGCCTTCAGAAATATACAGTCTCTATCAGTAAATCCCCAATAGATGAAAAAGAGTTTTCATTTAGGGCCAAAATACCTATAATATGGTGTTAAATGCATCCGCTATCCCATAATCCAAGTGTAATTGCATGGAGTATTAAACCCTTCCTTCACTTGCTATGGTTTGAAAAAAAACCACTCCCTTTAAAAATAGTATCTACCCTGGAAGAAAATCCCTTAATGACAGTCTCACTAGGTAGATCACACCAGGAAATCAACTCCACAGGAAGGTAAAACTACACTTATTGGCTACAATTAAGAATTTTGCAAGTCTAATTGTGCCAGCCCTTTTCTTATAACCCAGTGAGTTGGGGAGGCATCTCTCCGAGATGCTTCCAAATGTTGTTCTGGCCTTAAAATATGTTCCAGTCCTTTTTTGCCTACAAAACAGTCCCTGCATATTTCCACCAACATCAGCCTCCATATACTTCATACACCTACAGATACAGCTGTCCTTGACTTAACAACCCTTCACTAGTGACCTTTCAAAGTTACAACGGCACTGAAAAAAAGTGACATCACTTGTCTGTGCATTTACAACTGTTGCAGCATCCCCACGGTTCTGTGATCCAACTTTGGGCGCTTGGCAATCACCGTGCATCTACAGCAGTTGCAAGGGTCCCAGGTCATGTGATTTGCCATTTGCCACCTTCTCAGCTGGCTTCCAATCACGCAATGGGAAGCCATATTCACTTAATACCCACATGATTCACTTAACGACTGCAGTGATTTGCTCAGCCATTGTGGCAAAAATATAAAAACGGACGTAACTGACTTAATAGCTGCCTCGCTTAGCAGCAGAAATTCTGATCTCAGTTGTGGTCTTAAGTCGAGGACTACCTGCATTTAGCATTTATTCATAGTCTTGACATTTTTATTATGCCACTAATGAGTTTTTTCTAAATTTAAGCTGTCCTGGTAGAAAGTTATAAAGGACATTATGGATGAATGACAGCTGTTTTTACTAATGAGTTTTGCTGCTTTCTACATTTCAGATTCTGAAGGGAGACATTAATAATCTTTCAATTTCTTCTTTCTTTTAAAGCTCCTGTGTTTATCTTCCACTTTTGTTTTGTATTGTTTTGTTTTGCTCTTTTTAAGGATGAGCTTTATCTTTTGGCAGGATTTGTGTAGGAATTACCATATGCCTCTGAATATTTATATGTAAGAAAGTGACTGAGATAAAAAAATTAAAAAAGGACACCAGAAGGATTTTGCCATGATGATTCTTTATTTATATGTTTTATCTAGTTTCTTCAAAAAGAAATATCCTAACCTAAACTGAATTAGAATTAACTTTTATTTTCCTTTGGTTTTACTCTTATTTTATATTCTGGAAGTATATAAATATTTGTTCTATTCCTGGAACAAATAAAAAAACTTTTTTAAAAACCAAATGTTCTTGGAAAACTTCTTAAAAGCAACAACCACTTAAGCAAGAACATTATACAATATATAATTTAGCATAAATTTAGTAGCAATAGAAGAGAATATATGCACCTCAGGGTTGAACCGTAGAGTTCTTGTTGTTTTCAGAGCTTAGTTGTTGGGAGATTTTAATTACCCAACTAGGTAACATAATTATCTAAATATTAGCTAGTTGGCCAATGAAATGTTTCCAAGTAACAACTAAGCTCAGAAAACACCAAGAACTCCATATGAATGTAGTAGATATGTTAAGATGTAACATGATTAGAAAAAAACATGAGTGGACATAGGAGTTTGGTTAAAAAGGGGGAAAAAAAAGCAGGAACATTCCATAATTGTATGAAAGCTATTTTGTGCAAGAAACAAATAATGCTTTTCAGCCAATGGGTTTTCTTCTTGTAATTTGTCATAGTTTTCATATCTCATTTTCCCCTTCAACATTTATTATTGTTTTTGCATAGTTCCTTGTCTGGTTTTGATTAGAATAATTCAGAAACTGGATAAAAAGAATTGTCTGTATATAAAATTATCAGGCAATTCTTATTTAGCTTTGTTACTTTCCAAAACAAATTGTCTATTTTAAAGCTGGTGCTATTATTAAATGTTGCTTTCATTTAGCAGAAAGGAAGGAGAGAGTCATATTTTGCTTTAAGATTGATTTTGAACTGAATGAATAATTATAACATTTTTTCCCAATCACGTCTATATCTTAAACCAGAGGTGTCAAACTGTCGCCCCGTGGGCCGGACGTGTCATGAGTAAACTGTGCCCACTCCATTGCCAGCAATGGGGAAAAAGTTCCGATACGTCGTGCGACTTCACGTGACGTCGCGAGTTTGACATGTCTGCCTTAGACATTTTATATATTCAGAAGCAGATTGATCAATTTTTTGAAGTTAGACTATATATTGTACAAAGTACTCTGTCCAAAAAGCAGTACTCTGTCCAAAACCAAAAGAAAAAGAAAAGGCAGTAAGAACAATGCAAGACTGAATTCTTTGAATTCATATATAATGTATGGGGTTATTGAAGATACTTAAGATTTTGAAAATTAGGTGCAGTCATTAAAAAAAAATATTGCTTTCTGGATATTATTCCAAAGCTTTCATGCAGACTGCTCTTTTATTGTCCTGAACTTTTTTTCTTCTAAGTAAAATTAGTTTGTCAAAGAGTGTCTTTATAATATGTGAAAAGTGTAATTAATATATTTAATTTCATAAAACTACGCATATCTTTTGACTTTAGCAAATGAAGGAAGATTTATTCTATTCTTGTTTCTTGCTTCATCTTTTTTTCCCCTTTTCTCCCCTGCTCACTTCCTGATTTGCTATATTTAGAGAAGAAACCCAGACCAATACCAACGTAAGTTAAGGACATGTTTAATGGAGTAATATTATAACCATTCTTGTAAAGTTCTTTGGTTTTAAATGTTCATGATTCATGTATTATAAATGAGGATAACCAGTTAAATATTTTGTGTCTTTCATGTTTAGTTAGCTATATTTACCTGCAATTTCTACATATTTCATACTTCATTTTTAGGATGAAATGTAAAGATCTCCTTTGAATAAAAAAGAAGTTTTCACAATGAGATGTACACATGGTCCATCCAGTCCAGTAATACACGCAAAGATACAAACATATCTTATTGGATATGTTGTAACAATTGTCCTTAACCTCATACCTGCAGATGGGACTATAAATTCCAGAAAGCCTAGCTATTAATTCTGTGTATTGGAGATTATGGAATTGCAATCTCCATACAACTAGAAGGCACCAGATTGGGGAAGATTAATTTGGAGAGTGACTAATAGGATAAATATTTCTCTAATGTTTTGAAGGGTGATGTAATAAAAAAAAAGCTATTTGGTAAAGCAGGATGTCAGACAAAAAGAACAGAGGTTCACTCACACTTTCCACTACATCTTAATTAAATGAGAGATATACAACATCTTCATTCAGATTCATTTCTAGAGAGCCAATGCTTTCAGCAGACCAAAAAAATCCAACTTAATCATGATTATTACATTCACATTTTTAGAACTTGTCAAACTATTTCTGATGCTTCTCTCTCTAATAGAATTGGAATTGATAATTTGTAATATTAATGTTTTGCACTTGGAAGAAAAATATGATTATTGCTAGACAGTGCATCAAACCCATTAGTAGTTTTAAATTCAACTTCCCATATCCTGCAGTATGATTTTATTAAATAGTATTTGAACACATTTATTTCAGTTAAATTGTCATGCAAGCAAATCTTCCCAAAAATATCTCTTCCCTTTACTTCTGAAATATTTTTCTCAGGAACTTATGTACTTTTCTTTCTCTTCATAACATCCACAAAGGTTGACTGCACCTAAGATCCCAGAAGGCGAGAAAGTAGACTTTGATGTGAGTATTGCTGGTTCTTCCAGTGAATATCTTGTCTTGCCTGTCCAAATTTTAGACAAGAAAGTGGTTTATATCCCAGTATGTAAATCATTCTGAATAAGTTCCATAGCTATGAGAAGATATAACTGATGCAACTGATTGGTGTTTCAATAAATGGGAATATGTAAAGATTTTTCCTGTGGGGGGAATCTACACTATCTCAATAATTACACTTGGTATCATGAAACACCCGTTCCTGTCTTTTCTTTCCCCAGGACATTCAAAAGAAGAGGCAGAATAAAGACTTGGTTGAGCTTCAAGCCTTGATTGATAATCACTTTGAAAGCCGGAAAAAAGAGGAAGAAGATATAATGGCTCTTAAAGATAGAATTGTAAGTTTTCCTCAAATAAACTATTGTAAGGTCTTCAACATAAGGATAGATCATGAAGACAAATTAAATGTTAAAGGACCTATGATATTTTTTTGCTGAACATAAATTGCATGAAATCATTGTTATAAGTAGCCATGTTTTCTAAGTGTCTATATGCCTGGTTCATACAGCTTGAAACGTCAGTATATAATTATTACACAATGGTGTTACTAGTCATTTGGGATGTAAAAAAAGTAATATTTTTAGTGCCCTCTTTGAATTTCCACTCATATACCTTATAGATGTTAGAAAACATTGTTGGCCTTCATTCAGATGCCTCTGAGTTGTTTTATTAGTACTATCAACCCAAGAACATTTTTGTCATAATAGAATGATAGAGTTGGGAGGAACCGTGGATGTCTTCTACTCCAACCCCCTGCTCAAGCAGGAAACCCTATACCAGTGGTGGCGAACCTATGGCANCGCAGCCAAGGACATGGCAGCCAGGCAGCGTAGACAAGACTCTGCCCTCATGCCCCATCCCACACAGTTGATGCTGCGGGGCGCGGGCAGAGGGCGTGGCCATGGCGCTGCTGGGCTGCCTGGGCGATCTGTGGTGGACCCTGGAGGCGGTGAGTGGCCCTGCGGGCAGATGGAGTGGGAGACAGGATGGGGGTGGAGCTGGGGCGGGGCAGGGGGTGGAGCAGGGGCGGGGTCAGTTTTTGGGCACTCGGTCTCTAAAAGGTTCGCCATCACTGCCCTATACCATTTCAGACAAATGGTTGTCCAATTTCTTCTTTAAAACCTCCAGTATTGGAGCACCCACAACTTCTGGAGGCAAGGCGTTCCATTGCTTAATTGTTCTGACTGTCAGGAAATTTCTCCTTAGTTCTAAGTTGGTTCTCCCCTTCATTAGTTTCCATTGTTTCTTGTCCTTCGGGTTCTTTGGAGAGTAGGTTGACACTCTTTTCTTTGTACCAGCCCCTTAGATATTGGAACATTGCTATCATATCACCCCTAGCCCTTCTATTAAATCAGACATACCCAATTCCTGCAACCATTCTTCATATGTTTTAGCCTCCAGTCCCCTAATGATCTTTGTTGCCCTCCTCTGAACTCTTTCTGGAGTCTCATCTTAATACTGTTCACAATTTAATTTCAATTGTTTGTTCTCAGGAACATTTTTCAATGCCTTTTGTTCTGGAACTGAATACGGTTCTAACCAAATTGCTGCCTTTTCTCTGCAATGCATAGGAAAAACGTAGAGCTGAGAGGTCTGAGCAGCAAAGAATCCGAGCTGAGAAAGAAAAGGAGCGTCAGGCCAGACTTGCTGTGAGTCTATCTTACAATCTTTTGTCACTGGTATCTCATTGCCCTGAATGTGTTAATGATGTGTTAAGAGTTGTGACTTTGGGCTTTATCTTACCACTTCCCCAAAAATTATGTCCCAGACCCAAATTCTCTGTTCTGCCTTTATGAGTCCCAGGTATGAAGCAGAGTTTGTTCCTTTCTGTTGTTGTTGTTGTTGTTGTTGTTGTTATTATTATTATTATTATTATTATTTATTGAATTTATATACCGCCCTATCTCCCTTACGGGACTCAGGGCGGTGAACAGGCGATAATAAAAACCACGATAAATATACACAAATTTCTGTTCTAAAATATACACAAATTTCTGTTTCACAGGAGGAGAAGGCAAGACGAGAGGAGGAAGATGTCAAGAGGAGGGCTGAAGATGATCTGAAGAAGAAGAAAGCTCTCTCCTCTATGGGTGCCACATACAGCAGCTATTTGGCTAAGGTAAATCTACTGCATGGGCAGAGAAAGCCAGAATGTGATCAAGAATGAGCACAGCTGATCTGAAAAATTATCCAAGAATTTCTAGGAATTCTTTAATGCTACAATGGCAAAAACTTTCACTTTCAAGAAGAGATCAAAGAAGTTCACCACAAGAAGGACCTGCTAGTCTCTGTTTTAAGTCCCCCCCCACACACTTTTTTTTTCTTTAGGCTAGAGCAGGGGTAGGCAACCTCGGCTCTTTTATGACTCATGGACTTCAACTCCCAGAATTCCTGAGTCAGCATAGCTGACTCAGGAATTCTGGGAGTTGAAGTCCATGAGTCATAAAAGAGCCGAGGTTGCCTACCCCCGGGCTAGAGAGATAGAGTTCACAACTTGCCATAGTTTTGATCTAATGGCTCTTCAGCCCTGCGGGACAAGTCTTATGGCTTCTAGAGCATGTGCTGCAATGAATCAGAAAGACATGTAAAGTCTTAGAAACAATTACGGGTAAGTTTAGTGCTAACCTGATGGCATCTGAATATATCAGATTACAATCCAGGCACTATGTTTAGTGCATTGATGGAGGATGATATGAATTGTGATCAAGCATTTTTACAATTCAGGATTACTGCTCTACTGCCAGGTTTTGATGTTCTTCATTAATTCCTTCAATGGTATACATCCAGTGATTATTTGTTTATTTATATCCCATTAATATGTCCAACACACCTTCTTCCTCCTATTTTCCCCACAACAACCACCCTTTGAGGTCAGCTGGGCTATGAGAGAGTGACTGGCCCCAAGACACCTAGCTAGTTTTCATGGCTAAAGCAGGACTTGAACTCATGGACTGTTGCTTTCTAGCCTGGTGCCTCAGCCACTAGATCAAACTGGCTCTTTAATCATCTTTAAACTCGTTTTGCACAGGCTGATCAAAAGAGAGGAAAGAAACAAACTGCAAGGGAAATGAAGAAGAAAGCTTTGGCAGACAGACGCAAACCTCTGAATATTGATCACCTTGGTGACGACAAACTGAGGTAAAAAAAAAAGTACCCCCCCCACCTCCCCCACTGCCTCTTGTACTACACACAAGATTGAGCTTATGCTCAAATTTGTTTTACTATTTTTTCTGGTATTAAAAAATAGGAGGGGATATTTAAGAAAACAACATTTGTTATTATGCAGTTAAATATTTAATCCTGATGAGCTATCAAATTTGATTTAACATTAATATATAATATTTAACTCTAATGGATAATTTAAAAATAATCAATATAGTAAGAAAAAGAACAGATTAAATTATAACTTCTGCCTGCAGTTATAACATTTGTAAATTAGTAAAAAAAAACAACCAGGCACGGCCTCTATATTTAAGTAAATATAAATAAATATAAGTAAATTTAAGTAAATTACAAAAAAATGTTCAAGCATGTTGAAAGTTATAAAGAGAAATCCTTTTGCGTATATTTTAAAAATTATTCCTGTTAATATGGATATTGTTCTCACAAAGGCATATGAAATATTTCTGAATAAGATTAGCAGTTATGAAAGCAGGGAATAAGAACAAATAAACAAGTATTTCCAAAGGAGAAAGTAAACAATATGATTCCCCCAAGTATCTGTACTGAGACCAAAATACTTCAGTTTTTTCATTAAGTATCCAGAGAGAGGGTAAGTAATGAAGTGATCAGGCTCTCTGTTGATATTTTGGTGTTCAAATAACTCGTCATAAGGAAATGTTACATGAGGGATTAATTAAATCCACAAACTGAAATTGTTCAGTTGTGTTGGACTTCTATTTGAATAGTCTCCCAACCAGTTTGATCATAAATTTAAGAAATATTGAGCTTATGTAAATAAGTTTCTTTGTAGTTGCCAATTGTTTGAGTTGTATATCATTCTTTATTATATCTCCACTTCTTCACAAATAAATAGGGAAAAAGCCAAAGAATTGTGGGACTCGCTGTATCAGCTGGAAACGGAAAAATATGAGTATTTAGAAAAGATCAAGAGACAAAGATATGATGTGAGTAGAGAAAGAGATGTTGGCTATGATTTTTGTTTATTTTCAGGGTGAAATCAGTTATGCTTCTAAGGGGGACCTGGGCTGAAGACCATAGAAAATTTATTAAAGCCCATATACCATTCTGAATGTTTATCAACAAAATTCAGTTTATCCCAGAGTGATAACTTCTCAATTATACACCTAGGGTGGATTTCTGCCTTCTATTTAAAATATATCCTCATGATATGCCTGAAAATATTATGAAAGAACTTTGTCATATTAATTAATATGTTCATCTTTCTTTTTGAAGCATCTTCATAAACCAGATGACTTATTCATGATGTTAAACCCCATCACAGCCAAGCCAAGCAGGGGAGCCAACCATCTGTATAAATCCATAGGCAGTGTCAGCACTGCACTGAAATATCTATGAGATCAATAATGAACCCACTTCTGATGTTCCCAGCCTCTATTAACTCTCCATTTATCTTCATGTGAATTTATGCAGGCAGAAAAGCCAGCACGATTCTCTTTTGTTGTCTTGAGAATGCTACAAGATAATTATCATTTTTTTTAAAAAAATATAGATTATATCTTCTTCATATTGTATGGAATACTCCAAATTTGTCTACAAACTATGAGCATGGTTACAACCACTCTACCTATGTTTTAACTCTGTCATTGTGGATAGAGCCAAATAATTTGCCATCCAATTGCACATTTAATTGTTCTTAGGTAATAGTACATGCTTTACACTCTGCACAGAGGGGAGACAAAAAGTTAAGTCTAGGAATGAAGGAGAACTGGTGGATTGCACAGATGTGCAGAAAATGGGCCGTTATTGCTTTGCTGTGCTTGGAATTTGATTTTGGAAATAGGGAAGAATAAGGCATCCTTTTTACAGCAGTTGTCTGCTTTTATGATGTTGAGATAATCCTTTGTAATGCACTCACAAAACAGTGAGAGAGTTCTGACAGTGTTAAAAGGTGAATGCTTTTCTGTTTCTGAGTACCAATTGCAAAAAAAATAAATCAATTTGTTAAGAACCCCAAAGCCAATAATGATCTTAATCTCTCTTAGATTTTATCACTACGTTGCAGGGTGCAGGCACTGGCCAGGTTGTAAGTACAATCAGTTCACCCAGATGATATAAGCAGCAAAAGATTTTTACATGCATGAGCCTCTTGCATGTTGGGAGTCTGGAAACTCAAAATTTGCATAGATAAACAACAGGCTGGCATTCAGTTCCTGGCTTACAAAGCAAGAAATAGCCACATTTCTTCCTCTTTCTTTCCTCATCAAACTTTATTGCATTAATTCAGAAGTACCGGTAGCTGAATAGAAATTTAATGTTATATTCTGTAGATCAGCCTTTCTCAGCCTGATGTGTTGGCTTTCAACCCAGGAAGCATAGCCAAAGGCAGCAGAGGGCAGCAGATTGGAAAGATTGTGGTCAGTCATCCAAATCAGTGTTTCTCCACTTTAAGAATTCAACTCCCAGAATTCCCAAGGTAAAATTGGAAAACATTGTTCTAAATGAACGCAGGACAATGAAAATACGTGATGCCAGCAGAAAAACCAGTTCTTTAAGGTGATCTCTCCATTCAATCGTTATCTTATTTTCCTACTTCATAGAGTGACTGTAGTGTCATAAAAATAATTTCTATAAACCAAAACATCAGGAGTTGGGGGGATGTTATAAAAATACTACTAATAATAAGGGCTGCAAATTATACATGGTAATTTCCCACATGTCCAAAAAAAGGAAAAGAAAAGAAAATAGAAAAAGACAGTCTCAAAGGTGTTTTTTTTTTTTCTTCAAAAGGCAACTGGACTGTTTTTTTTCTTGAGGAGGAAGAAGAAAACATTTTGCTTCCTTGTTCAATGATGAAGCTTCTTGGATGAGAAATGTTTTCTTCTTCCTCAAGAAAAAAAACAACCCAGTTGCCTTTTGAAGAAAAAAGCACCTTTGACACAACTCTGACCTGGATGACTGAGAATCTCCACAAACATTTAGAAAAAGACAGGTAAGAAAAATCAACTAGCACCTCAAAAGCCTTTTTTGTTTGCTTATATTTATACAAAAATCACACCAGAGAGTAGGTGAGAGCCAGAAGACAAAGAGGCCATTCTTTTCAGATTTGTCTTGCAAATTTAGAGAAACCTATTGGGTTATGTTAATGATATGGAAGCAGCAGTAGAAACTGTTGAATGTTCCCATTAATCCCTGTCAATTGAGTAAATTAGCTACAAAAGATTGGAGCAAGCATCAAACAGCAACCAGAGAAAACTGAATTGGGAGATGGAACTTGTTTCTGATCCACCAAGCAACCTGTTTTTTTAAAAAAAGAATTGTACAATTAAAGGGAAAATTGCTGTTATCCTAAGAACAGTTGAGCTGTAGCTGGATAGCATAGAAAGTTCATAAGAAAGCAAAATAAAGGAAGCACTGCTTTAGAGCCATTTCTTGCCCAACTTTGTTACCCAGGAATCCAAGTGCCATGCCTATTGTCTATCTTACTTCACACGTAGAAAAGAAGGTAAGTCATAAGCACCAATAGTAGTCTGGTAAACAAAGTTCCTTAATCAAATACCTGGTTAAGAGGAGGATTCAATATTAGTTCCTCAGTTCCACAAGGCACGTGTTCAAAATCTACAAGTAAGCAAGTAAGTATATTGGGCAGCTGAGCTATCCTTTTTCATGTTGTTGTGTTGCTTCCAATGTTGGAGTCTCCTGTTTCTGCTTGTAATGGAAGAAAGTCCCACCCTGTGAATCCAAGATGGTGAACAAGATATCTTATGGTTTGAATATTGTGAATTTACTATACAATAAATTGAATTGCTGCACAATAAGAACGACTTAGAGGAAACTTAGAAGAAAAAACTATGCTGTTGGCCAGCCGTCTCTTAAGATGCAAGCAGTGTGTTTATTGCATTGTGAACAAAGCAATGGAAATATTAAGGAAGATGCTGTAAATAATGGTAAAAAAATATTTTTTCCCAACTCCTCTTTATTTCCTTGAGCCAGAAATTATATTTTGATTTCTTTTATAATTGAAGCATTTCCACCTCGTAAAATTGCAATTGCTCAAAACCTGGAAAATGGTTTTTAAATTTCCAGCATGCTTCCTGGTCTGTCTTCCCTCCAACCTGAAATATTTCTTTCCTTTACTCTTTGGAAAGCCCTCCATTGATTTGTGAAATAACAGGATCACTTTTGAATAGGAAGTGTCTGTTCACAGCTGGAAATAGCCCAGATTTGACTTTTTTTAAAAAAATTGGTTAACCTTTATCCTGACAGAATTGTAAGATCTGGGTTTCTTTAGTTTCTTCCTTTGGATAAGGACAGAATTAAGTCAGTCATAGAAATCTTTTTTTCCTCATTCAGCTAGGCAGAGAGTTGAGAAGAATTCACCCAAATAAATTAGTCTTGATTATTATGAGGACAGGAAGGGGAAATCATGATAAAAAAAAATTAATTGTGCTGATATGGTAACAAAGGAAGTTTTAAGTAATTTGTCCACTAGCAGCTTATAGCTTCTTCTAGAGTTATTCGGCCACTGTTGTGCCAAAATAATAATGAGATAAGTTATATCACCTCAGTGATGGTTGGTGATGCCATGAAGACACTTTAAGTCATTACTAAGGACATGGCTTTATTTAGAAGGATTATTTTTTCAAATACTGCTGACAGCTTTTCTGTTTTGATTTATGCATAGGAAACTTTCTATTGCTGGAGCAGATTTTTAGTATCCTCTCCATATATATAAATGAATATATATATATATATATATATATATATATATATATATATATATATATATATATATATATATATATATATATATATATATATATATATATTCATTTATTCAGTAACAATTATTTTTATTATGGGTAAAATCAGAATGTTTTCAAATTCTCATTCCACTTTTCAAAACATGGGGTTTTTTTTATTTTTCTCCCTTTGTTTTGGAAAAAATAAGAAACCAAGGATGAATGGGCTGATAGATCTCACACCAATTTTTGCTAGCTACATGGCAACAAGTAAAAACAAAAATGCACATATAATTAGGAGGATGAGTTTGCAGTAGGACTTTATACAAGTTTTCAGAAACCTGGAACTTGATATAAAAAGGCAGAGATAATCTTTAACTGAATATGTACCGTATTTTCCGGCGTATAAGACGACTTTCTAAACCCTGAAAATCTTCTC